GGGGGGGGAGGATATTAGGGAAAACTATTTATTAGGACGGTGGTGAAGCACTGGAATGGGTTCCCTAGGGAGGTTGTGGAATCTCCATCCGTAGCAGTTTTTCCAGTCCCGGCTTGATAAAGCCCCATGTGGGATGATTTAGTTGGGATTGGTCCTGCTGTTAGCAGGGGGTTGACTTTCTGAGCTCTCTTCCAACCCTAGGAATTTATGATTCTACTGTGTCAGCAGTGGGAAAGAAAAGGTGCAGTGTTAAACAACAGTAGATGACTGATGGAATTTGTAAACAGTCAGTACAAAGACAGATGAAATGAAGAGTATCAAAAGTTGCACACATTCAAAGTATGCAAAGAGGCAAAAGAAAAAAAGGGGAGCAGCAAAGATGCAAGAAAATCAAAGAATTTGAAATCAGACACAAACACAAAGAAATTCATCACATTATAAAAAGACCCATGAGACTAATAAGTCAAGAAAAGGAGTTAGCCGTGTTAAAAACTAAGGACTGCTGAGTATTCTGTGAAATCAACAGCATCCTGTAACATGGATGAAATACCTTCATTAACTTTCATCTTAAAATAAACTGGAAATGTAACCATCAGAAGAGGAGAAGAAAAACCATTGTAGAAATTACAGTGTGGGAACAAGAAAGAACACTGAAAAGTATAAAGTGAGGAAAAGCAGTTGGGAAGAATGATATTGTGGTTGAAATGCTACAAACCTACCTGAAGATTCAAAATCTTACCTCCTAACATTTTTCAATTGAATTATATACACAGGAACTTCCAGAGAACTTCAAAAGATCATCTCATTTCTCTATCAAAAATTAAAATTAGAGAATGTGAATAACACTAAACTATAAGCCTGATAAGCTACCCACACAAAGTTTGAAAATAACCAGCACACACATATATCACCATAAAAAGGCAAGAATTAGTAGAAGTCACTTTGATTTCCAGCCAGGAATAGGCATGAGGCAATATGCCCTGAGGTTCTTGAGGGAGCATGCAACAGAAGCACAAGTGGAAATTTATATGAGCTTTGTCAATTTTGAGAAGACATTTGATTAAATATAGCATGACAAGATGATACATACTCTTGAAGAATGGATTGACTTTCAAGACCCATAATGAATCCAAAGCTTATTCTGGGGACAGAAAGCAGCAATATGAACAAGCTATGCAACATCAAGAAAGGTTTATGCCAAGGCTGCATCCTAACTTGAAACTATTACAGAAGGACTGGCGAGGGAAAGTTTAGAAGGCACCAACCAGGACATAGGGGTCAGTAGCATATACTTAAACAAAATAAGATCTGCAAATGTTTGTATCACTTTAAGAAAGGAAAAACTTCAGAACATACTTACTACTGTGAATACTGCCAGTGAAAATATGTAACAACAATTAATGTTAGAAAGACGAAGTAAATGTAAACACAATATTGCTCAAGGTAGGACGATTCTTATTATCTCGATGATCAAGTGCTGAAACAAGTGAATCGTTTCCTTCATCGTACACCGGCCTGGACCCCAGCAGGGACTAATTCAATGACCACCTTTTCGCTGAAACAAGTGAATCGTTTCCTTCATCGTACACCGGCCATATATTTGCTGTCAATTTTGCCCCCTTTCTTTAGACTTTCTGCTTTTCCCTTAGTCTATGTCTAGACTGCAGGCTTCTTTCAGAAGAAGATTTTCCAGACAAGAATAGGGGAGCACAACATCCCCGAGGTGGACTCCACATGGTGGAGAGGAAAGGGGAGGCCTTCCTACCGGGGTGGGAGGCAGGTGAACTTTTTCCAAAAGAGAGCGTCTACCCAACAAAAGCGAGCTGCTTTTTTGAAAGAGGGCGGAGGCAGGTGCCGGCCAGGAGGGAGGGGCCTTTGAGCAGGCGTGCACAGCTGCCATCCGCCAGGCACATCAGGCTGGGGTGGTCATCTGGGAAGCCCTGAGGGAAAGTTTCTCTCAAGGACCCCAGTAACTCTCCCCAGGGCCTCCCCAGAAGGGGCCTGTGCCTTGCTCCACAATCCCTTTCCCACCACAACCCCTCCCTTCCCACCTTCCCTGAACTCTGAATCAACACACCTTTTTTGATTTGAACAACACAAACTTTGTGGGTTTTATATAATTAAATAAACTGGGGAGGAGGGGGCCTGAGAACCTGGATGGGGGAGGACGGAGGGGGGCTCAGGGCTGGGAGTGGCGCATGGTGCAGGTGGAAGTGCCACTTCGGGCCCAGGGATCGTGGCGAACTTGGCCCATGGACAAACAGGCAAGGGAAGTGTCTAGCCACAGTGGGATCCCATGGGCGGGAGAGGGGCCTGGAGCTGCCTGGCCCTCCATGGGGCCCGCACACACACCTGTGCCTGGCAGCACTGTCTACGGAAGCGGGTGGTGCCTCGCATGGGCAAGCATGGCCATGCGCTGTATGGGGCACTCCTCAGTCTGTGTGGGGTTGTGCGTGCGCCCTTGTGCCAAGCCGGCTTCCAGCTTTGCTCGGTGGTGGCAGGGCACCTCTCCCTCCCTCCCGGCAAGCAGTCATGTGTGCGGGGCCTCCTGTGAGCAGGACGCTGGGGCTGCTCCAGGGCTGCCTCCTGAGGCCACGCGGCACAGACTCCACTTGCTACAATGGTTCGTGACAAAAGATCTGGATTTTTTTTGGTTGGTTTTAGTCCACAAAAAGAGCTCACAGGCAGTGTCTGCCTGCCGTAGCAAACTTCTTTACCCATCAAAACAAAACAAAAAAAAACCCAACTTGATCATAAGTTGAAATTTTCCATGGGAGGAAAACGTTTTCCAACCAGCTCTACTTTGTAACTTTCAGGATATGAGACATCAGTGACCGTGTGATGGGGTGTATTCCCCCCGCACTGTGCAGGAAGGGATTAACTCATCCCAGAGGGCCGGGGAAGCCACACCCCCTTTCGCCTATTGGGCATGCTCCAACTGCTCTAGGATAAAAGAGAGCTACTCAGGTCAGTTGGGGTGGGCGGCCGGAGGGGAAGGAGCTCGTGATCAGCCCCGGCAGCAGGAACCGTTCCAGGAGCAGCAGCCCCGGCAGCCCTGACCCCAGCCTCAGCAACCACCCTGGCCAGAGAGGGTGTCCGGGAGTCACCAATTTGCTGCCCTCCTTGCAGACTGAGAACAGTCAGAAATGGCCCAGGGTGGAGGATTTTCCTCTGAGGGTTGGGACCCCCTCTGAGCCGGCCGTGGAAGCTTCCACAGCCTACAGGGCCCTGGACCGGGACACAGTGGAGTGGGAGGGACTGGTTCCCCCTAACTCCCCCAAACCTCCACAGTAACGCCACTCCCAGGCTCTTTGGGAGGCTTACCTGTGAACCAGGCCTGCAGGGCCGTCTGTACCCTGAGAAAGGGAGATGTACTTTGGGACTAGGCCGGGGAGGCCGTATTTACCCCAATAGTGGGACAGGGATGCCCTGGGGACGAGGACACCCCGTGACAGAGCATCATATGGTAAGCAGAATAACGGACCCCATATTTTACTTGGCTGCCAAGAAACAGTGCCCTCTCTTTGTAAGATTAACTCAGTTCAGCGAAAAGAGGCACCAAGGTCCACTCCTGCTCTCTG